AGAATGTGCGGCAGAACTAATTATGGAAAAGTGCATTATTTTTAACTGCTAAGCTGGCCGCTAATGCCTTTCATTCCATAAATCCATAAACAGTCAGTTAACACGCCGCTGAAAAGTCTAAAACAGTCCGATTTCGTTCCGTATTTTTCTTCTTTTAGCACCGTTAAACAGCAACATATAATTCATAGTAACAAAAGGCGCTGAACTGAATCTACGCGACAGACCATAACGCGCGGTCATTGCAGCAATCTGCTGTGGACTACGAACCAACGACGCCTAAAATTCTGAAGGAACTGTATTACGCATGCAATCTTTCAGCTGTCACATAACCCAGTGATAAAGCTTTCTCGTTGTACGCCGCTTCTGTTACCGTTGATAGCTTTTCTTCATCGGAGGGCCTCCTGAATGGAACTTCGGTTCAATTTGCAACATTGGAAATGTCTAAGAGTGACAGGAGTATCATCGACAATCTGGATCACTCAGTCGCATTAGTTTTATGCGCCACTACTCCAAATTCACGAAATAAGACCAGTTTATGAAAGCATCTATCCCAAAACTTCGTTCATTTATTCATTTTCCGCTACTCCTACCAGGTCGCGGAGGATTTACTTCAGGAGACCTGTCAAATGGCTCTGAACAGCCTCCATATGGACAAACTCCGTAATCTGCACTCCAAGGTACGACACTGCCGCATCTACTACATCATCCGAACCATCCGGTGCAGAGTGTGCGCTTGGGAGCAGAATTCTCTATGATTTTACCAATACCATATACAACAACTTATATGATGTAGAAAAACTCGTCAGCTAACAATAAAGCAAGTAAATTACGGCAACTGAGAAATTTTTCAATTCCCTTCCTAGAGAAACCGAATTGGACCCGGCTAACTTCGGGAACAAAGAATCACTATTGGGAAGACCTTTCCTTTCCGATATCTTATCTTTTATAAATTCGAAAACATTTTTGGATTCCGCATTCTTCATTGAAAGCCGTAAGAATACGATGGTTATAGTCACAATCACAAAATCGATGTTACTCACTGTGCATCTGCCAATGGTTGGTAGGTGTCAGTGAAAAGAATGAGATGGTGCAAGTCGAACGACAAAACCAAAAAACGTTTGCAGTAAAATACATGCTTTACCAAGACCTTTCTCGTCAGTAGGGGGCAATGTTGCGATCTATACAGGTCAAGGAGTTGAACAATCGTCTTCGCACTAAAGGTAACGAAGAAGTATTTATTTTACTAAATATAAAAACCGAACTCCGACGTAGCCAGTAACAAGCCCAGTTGAGAAAGAAGGACGGTTGGAGACCGTGGCGAAGTCTCGGAAAAATTTGGCCATTTGGCCTTCATGATATATATTTTTCGAAATCCAAAAATATACCAGCTAGGCCGTGGCCAGAGTTACCAAGGACCGCGCAGGCGTTGGGGGACTGGGGCAGACGGCAAAAAATCACCGGTCAGAACCTGCTCATCGCCCTCTGCCAGCTGGGGATGCAGCAGTACGACAACGGATGACGAAGATCGACGGAACGACGGCGAAACGAGGCAGCAACGGAGTCGCTACCCGTTTCGAAACGAGATAAGCAAAGAGATGCCACTACAGCATGACGGAAAACGCTCCACAAGAACGACACCGCTAGTGGGAGATTATAGTCGGAAATTGGAATATATCTTTACACAGAGGGAAAGAGCAAAAGTTAGTTGATGAGGCAATAGAGTACCAACTCAACATTGTTAGACTCTCGTCAACGAAATGGCAAGGCCCTCGAATCCTGAACCTCCGCGGGTGGAAAGTATTCTACTCAGGTGTCGATATCACGACGCGCGCTCAAGCTGGGGTTGGTGTCCTGGTAGAACCGAACCTCGCTGATAGAATCATTGACTGAAAGCCTGTCAGCGGAAGGGAAGCGATCATCCGACTGAAACCACAACAGGCCAGAGCGCTGACCTTGTTACAGGTCCATGCGCCCAATTTAGAGGGGGAATATGATTGACTCCTTCAGGAAATGGAATGTGCTCTGCATGAAGTGTCGAATACAGAGCCAATAATATTCACGGGCGATTTTAAAGCGCCTGTCGGAGCAGACTTTGAAAAGTGGAACGGCGTGACTGAAAAAAAACGACCTTAGCGACCTCAACAATAAAGGATAATGTGGCGGCTTTTGCAAACAACGTACTGTTCATTATGAATATCTTCTTCGAGCATCGAAGAGTGCATCATCATACCTGGTACAGAGAAGCGTGTATACAGAAGTCGAAGATCGATTTGATCGACTTAACACGCAATGGAAGTTCGCGTTAAGAAAGGCGCAGAGCTATCAACCGATCACCACCTGGTTGTAGCCACGCTACGCTGTATAAAAAATAGAGTATCATACTAAGATCTGGCGCCAAAAGCAACCAGAGAAGCGAATGCGAAACGTTAACTTCGGTGGACGCGAGAGCGAAATTTGCAAAAATCACACGACGACTTGAACAGATCCCGGCAATGACAACTGATGTGAAACCGAGTGGCAGCTCTTTAAGAGAGGCCTACTCGAGGCTGCCGCTGAATGCTGAGGATATAAACGGGTTGGTCTGCCGCCTGGAGGTCAGAAAAGACCTTCATTGTGGACACGAGAAGTGCAACTAGCAATTACAGGAAGAAGGCAGCGTTCAAAAAATGGCCCGGAAACAAAGAGCCTTCTACTCATGTGCGATATGCCGAGGCACGCTCGGCGGCAACGAAAGCAGTGGCGAAAGCCAAAGCTGATTCCTGGGAAGAAGTTCGGTGAGGCGTTGGAGTTGAATTTACACACGGCAAACAAGGTATTCAAGAAGACCATGAAAAGAAGAGAATCCAAGACTCTTAAAGGACAGGTCTGGACACTTTCTCACCAAGGATGAGGACATTCTTCGGCAACAGAGAGCGTACTTCGAGGAACTCCTTAACCTCGAGCAACCGCAGGAAGACTCACCTGTAAAGCACCAGGCAACGGATACTACTATCTGTGCAGAAGAAATCATGCAAGCTGTGAAGAGCTTAAAACATGGAAAGAATGCTGGAATTGTTGAAATCCGCCCTGAGATGCTCAAGGCATTAGGCGAACAAGGCATGTGCTGGCTAACACGTGCCTGTCAAACTGCGATGACTGCGGGAAAGACACCAGCAGAATGGAGAACGGGAGTTGATGTACTCCTATTTAAGAAGCGAGACCACAGGGAGTGCTCCAATCCTAGGGGCAATACGCAACTGAGCCTCAAGGGTAAAGTCTAAGCAACGGTGCTAGAAACGGGGTGCCGCAGAAAAACTGACTCCAAGATATAAGAAAAGTGTTGCTTCTGGCCCGGTAGAACCACTCTCACCATATATTTGCTCTGCGTCAGTTTGCTGAGAAATCGTGGGAGTACGCCAGTCCGATATATATGTGTTTCGTTTACAGAGAAATAGCCGGATCCCTCGCAATAGTCAATGGTCATGCCTGTGAGCATACGGAATAGATGTCCAATTGTTAAAGACCATCCAATCACTGCATTCTGATAGCAGGTGCTGCGTCAGAAAAAATGGCGTTAAATCGAATCCTTTTAACGTTGGGACTGGTCTTCGACAAGGCTGCATCCTGCCCTCTATTCTGCTTGTGTTGTACATTAACAGAATAGTCAGGAGCTGCCAAGGCGATGACGGTATCGGTGAAGGAGAAGTGGAGAATGTTGCTATTTGCAGACAACCTTGATTAATTGGCATCTTCTAAAACTGATCTACAGTGTTTCCTAGATAAGTTCGTAGCCGAGTGCGACGTGACCGGCATGCGTGTGAGCGCATCTAAAACGAAAGGCCCAGTGCTTTCTCGTTCTCCTGGCCGTTGCTCTC